TCGTTATGTATCGAGTTAATATTGCTGTTTTGATAGATGCAGCTAATTCTACAATTTGTTTTCAGTAATGAAAACCATACAGACACCATTTTCTTGTCACAAGTTGTGATTTAATCACAGTTTTTTCATCCTTGGCAGTCTTTCAATGAGTTTAGAGTTCAGTAGTATATTTATTTATTTCCATCAGTACACAAACTTAGTTGTTAAAATTGGTGTTATTAAAGCTAAAACTTTAAAATTTGGCGCTTATAATCGCTATTACGATGTTACAATTTTAGCGCACATTATTTTATTTCACAACATGTTTCAATGCAACCGCATCATCTTCAGGCTATTTTTCGTCTTTTAAAACTAATGTATATTTATTAATGCAACTATCGTTGATTTGTTTGTTTTGTAGCTTTCATTTCTGTAGGTTGTTTCTTTTTGTTGTTCGTCTTGTTTTTTGTATTTTTTAGATTCGTTGTTCTGTAGTCTGTGAAACAATTATTTAACATTCGAATTATTTATTATTTATATGAAAAAGAGTTTGGAAAATAGAATATATTTATAACACATTGCATTGAAACATGTTATGAAATAAAATAATGTGCGCTGAAATTGTAACATCGTAATAGCGATGATAAGCGCCAAATTTTAAAGTTTTAGCTTTAATAACACCAATTTTAACAACTAAGTAAGACTTGAGGTTCTCACAGCGGTGAATATGAAGATTTCTGTCTTCTGGGTTGTTGCGCCGTGTAGTCTGGTCGATGTTAACCAACGTTTCAGAGGTCATACTGCCTTATTAAGACCGTTTACCATTTCCAGCAATGCGCCTTGAGTGCAGGAATGGTGTCACCTAGGTAGGGACGATGCTTGCGCTTGCGCAGGCCTCCGCCCTCGGTTAGCTTTTTGGTTGGTTTGGTTGGTTTCCTATTGGCATATTCATCGCCCTGATGACGGAGGCAGTATGACCTCTGAAACGTTGGTTAACATCGACCAGACTACACAGCGCAATAACCCAGAAGACAGAAATCTTTAACAACTAAGTTTGTGTACTGACGGAAATAAATAAATATACTACTGAATTAAGCACAAACATGACGCATTTAAACTACGAGTTTAGAGTTGTTTGTCAAACTGTAGCTATGGTTTACTGAAGTATTTCATTTGCACAACTCCTTTGTGTGTGTTCTGAGTTACAGAAACAAGTGTCTATAAAGTAGAACAGTACATGTTTGTATGTGGGTACTGATCAGTATCTCAGAATTTGTTAATTATCTGATAAATCGTAATACAGTTGTGAACAGTAGAGCATGCATTACACCTGGATCATACAAACTGATGCAAAGATCATGTCAGTAGTAGCTGTCACTCATTAACTTAGAGTCAAAGTACTTTTGAAACATTAGAACGCTGTTTCAGAACCTGGCATTCTACAGTTACTCCATAAGCAATTAACCTGGGTCAGAGTAGTAGTAATGGTAGCTGTTATTTGATTGGAAGTCACTGAAAACTGAGTCTCTTCATATAGTTAAGGCTCACTTTTGTATGCGAGAACCATGAAGTGAAAGAATTGATGTCACAACTGATGAAATTAATATCCATCACTGGAGGCAGGATGAGATTAGGACAGAGTTTTACTTGTTGCCTTCTCTTGTCTTTGAACAAGGTCGCAATAACCCAGAAGACGGATATCTTCATACTCACCGCTGTGAGAACCTCAAGTCTTACAAGGTTCTTTATCTCTTTTCTTGTGTGGAAATAAACTTTTAATTGATTGTTTTGGGGGGTATGGAAGGGATGGATTGATTACATGATCTTTGGTTATATTTTATTCAAAGTACTGAAAGACTATTTTACTGTTTAATGTCTTTGTACGAAGTTTTTTCTGGTGTCGTTCATTTCTGTTTAATTCCCTTGCACAGGGTGCAGCATGGTAGACTGATGGATTCTCAAGTGTTATAACTACAGTAAAACGCTCTGTATTGTTGATTTCAACACGTTATTAACATATTATACAAAGGCATTTTTGTAATGTCTGCCTTGTTTCTCAGTGTGCTCCTGCAGTTTCTTTAGAAGGCTTTCCATCATGCATCTTTAGCCCTCATAAATACCTTGAACCTCCTTAGTAATACTTGTCTTCAGTTCCACAATCGTGTGCATAACAAATCCATTTTTACTTTAGCAGTATGGGCTGTTTCTCCATCATTCTGGAACCAAATGTCTTACTGAACAGGCAGCTGTGGGGCCAAAAAATTTCCTAACATTGCTCAGTAACATTCAGAATTCACTGTTCAAGTTGCGCTGGTCTCTTCGTCAAAGAAATGTGAACCTTAAATTCCAAGTTAAGCATTTCCAGGACGTTTATACTGTGCAGTGGAGTTCATGCATCTGTTGCAGATTTGTTTGAGGCCAGTAATGAAAGTTTTGCTTCTTCACTGTTCCACATAAATGAAAGCTGACTTTGTCACTCATTATCAGTCGATGCATACCATTTGTGTTTTGCAGCAGGAGACCTTGAAGCTTGTTACAAAATTGGAGACACAATGCCTTATCACGCAATCGCTCAACTCTTGAGAAATGGAAGCCCAGACTCAGAATTTGTTTTAGTGTTCAATCTGACATCCCAAGGGCTTGAAAATGTTGTCTGTGCTGAACAAGTTGGCTCAGATGAAATGCAGCTGTCACTGCTGCATTGTTTTCTGGTATGCATACCATTTCTTTTGGTCCTTTCATTCTGTGGGAATGAGTGATCCGGTTTCACACCACTGTTTAACCCAATAAATGTGTTCCATGAAGGATCGCAGCCTTTATTTTAATTACCAAATTTAGTGTGTAAGCTATGTTGTGTTTGCACAACATATTCTGTTGCCATGTAACATTCTACAGTAAAAATGTAGTGTTCTATACTCTGCTCCAGTCCACTCCACTATGACTCACCATGACCATCTTGCATGCATTACTTCTTGCAAATGAATATTCTGAATGCCCTTGACAAGCTCCTGTTTATTCCAGTGTTACCAAATTACAAAATTTCAGAATACACCAGTCTGCTTCTCTGCACCTTATATAAGGTTAGAGTTTTGCCAAGAGTCTAGATTTAATATCACACATTATATGTTGATAAGATTTAATAAAACTAGAGATAGGTCCCATTCTTTCTTCATCCAGGTTTTACTTAAAAGAAACTGTACTGAAATTGCTTGATTATTTTACAGTTTTGTGAATATGTATTCCCATTAACCATAAAGTAATGTAAAGTAAAGTAGTCCTGCTATGCACCGTGTAGGTTGTTTTGGGGGAGAGAAAGTATAGCTTCTACTCATTCTTGACCTCAGCATCACGCCCCTGCTGCGATTAATCCCCGGGAGAGGACCCCAGTACCCACCAATTGGATAGGAGGCTGGTGGGACCTAGAGCCTGTCTGGATGCAGC